CAAAAAGCAAGACCCTAGCTCCAAAATAAGCATGGTAAAAAGGGCTGTAGGTGTGGCTCAAGTGGTACAGTACCTCTCTGGCAAACATGAAGCCATGAGTTCAAACTCCAGACCCACCAACCAAAAAAAGAGAATCCTCAGATAAAGTCTCTGGCTTTAAGAATGTTGTATTTTAGTCAGGTAGCCAAATCTAATACTTAGGAAATAAAAACTTTAAGAAAAGCAGTTTAAAGTTAGTTGGTAATATCAGCAAATGTTTATGGCACTTGCCATTTAAAAAAGTTGTTTTTACAAATATTATTTCATTTAACCCATACCAAAAGCTCTTTGGATAAATAATATCATGGTCTCCTTTTGTAGAAGAGGAAGCATGGGCTCAGAAAGGTTCCCAGAGTCACTAGGCTGAGAAAGGATAAATGGAAATTTGAATCAGGGTTTTATTTAAGATTCTCACAGACCCAGTGTTCTAAGAGCTCAGAAAAAAGAACTCTGTAAGCAAGTGGATGGTTACTAGAACTGGGCCTGCAGGAATGGATGAAGTTTGAATGGCAAACTACCTACGAAGGACCAAGTTGTAAATATCTACAGCTCTGCAGGCCCCCCAGGATTTCCTGCAGCTCTTCAGCTCTGCTTCTAGAATGGAAGCAGCCATAGGCAGCCCCAGGCAGGTGGCCACCACTGCCTTCTAATAAAATTTTCTTTACAAGAATGAGTAGCAGTCTGGACTTGGTCCATGGGCTATGGTTTGCTGACCCCTGGAATATGTGAGGGGAGGTGGTCAGGCTCTTCAGGGGAAGGTATGATGCCTATGGACAAAGCTCAGAGTTGGTGTAAAGATGGCACATCAAGGGACAGTGAGAAGGGCAGCCTGGCTTGGTTGGAGAGTTTTCCAGGAAGTAACAGGAAATAAGGATGAATAGAAAATGTCTTAGTCAATACCCCAGTCCTAAACAGCGGAAATGAATTTCCTCTCAGGCGTAGAGGCTGGCAGTCTGAGATCAAGCTGTTGGCCAGGTTGATTCCTTCTGACGATCTGTGAGGGAAGGCCTCTCTCTTTGGCTTGTAGACACTGTGTTCTCCCTGTGTCTTTGCATGGTCTCCCTTCTCTCTGTGTGTGTGTGTGTGTGTGTGTGTGTGTGTGTGTGTGTGTGTGTGTCTGAATTTCTTCTCCTTATAAAGACACCAGTTATATTAGATTCCTCATGATCTCATCTTAACTTAAATTACCTATTTAAAGACCCTGTCTCCAAATACAATCACATTCTGAAGTAAGAGGACTTAAGACATCTGCATACAGATTTCAGGGGAACATAATTCAACCCATAACAGACAGAATGGCCAGGTTACAAGGAGTCTTGAATTTCATATTAGAGGCAGTGAGGCAGGAAATTAGGGTTCTTGTGCTTGTTTGCTATAACTGATTAGTACTTTCAGCAAACAAGTACTAGTGATACCATTCATATACAAAAAATATAATGGGCAACAACAAGGTCAGGTTCCTTCCAGGAGTGCATGGATCTGGGCAGTTGAAGCCAGGCAGGTTGGCTGCCCCAGGACTCACCCTATGACTCCTTCCAGCCTTCTACCATGCTAGGGAGGTCAGGGTGGGTTATAAATGCCCTCAGTCCCTTCAGCTTCAAATACCCCCAATTATTTCCAAGGGTATCTGGCCTTGATGCACCAATGCTCTTCCAACAGGGAAGGTAAAAGATTGACAGTAACAGATGGGTTCTCTGAGCTTGGATAATGGCCTACCAGCTACATTACAAAATAAAGACTGGGTGTTTCTCTTAGCAGATCTCATGAGAGGCCAGCCATTCCTGCTACCTCTCACATGAGAACCCTACAAAGCCCCATCCCTGGGGCAAAGGTAGAGCTGTTTTGGGTGACCAAAATGTTGAAAAGTAGGCAGATTTCTTCCTCCCCTCCCCTTCCTCCCAATTCCTTTCACATTCTCTTTCATGGCCAGACAGTCCTGATGTACTTGAAGATCTGAGGCAGGGCAGGTCCAGATATTTGATATGTGGCTGGTTCTCCATACTTCTTCTCCCAGCCATGGGGATGAAAGGGGAAAGAAGAAGGAAGAGAAAGAAAAGGAAGGAATAGCCAAGAAGATTTTGCTATTTTCTTTGTAGAACTATTGCTTTGTAACTGCAGTGATATTTTTCTTCTTTATCAAGACTCATGTTACTCTGAGTCTCAAACCTTTGCCAAAACCCCTTCTGAGGTCATTTTTTTACTCCTGTGGATGGGTTTTGTCCATCTTTGGACATGCATATTACATCATGTTGGCATCATGGTGGCTAAACAAGATCTAATTTCTTTTTAAGGAAACTATGAGTGCTGACACACTGGCCCAGTCTGGAGCAGATCCACCACTTGGATCTGTAGGATCTTCCCAGAGACCACTGTTAGTTTTATAGAGAGTTCACTTCCTGCAGAGGAGAATGAGGGCCATGTGTGGGGGCCACCTTGTTCTCTGTTGACCACAGCTGTGGAAAGACTGGCCAGCTAGCCACACTGCTGTGTTTCATGGCGGAGTCCCATAGGTCAGTGAATAAACCCTCCAGGGGTTTACAAACCCAAGCATGCCAGGAATACCAGCCTCAACAATGGCTTAGCTCTAACTCCCCTCCCCCATGATGATTTGTTTGGCTTCTACTTTCAGATCATCCCATGAAGAAAATAACATAATCTCCCCAGTGTCCACACAATTGTTCTCCAAGCAGATCAGGGAAGAGATAATAAATGTACCTCTCATAAGACAGACATCGTCCTACTAAGCACCATTCAAACAAGAGTGGCCACCAAAAGTAGATGTTGAGGGCAGAGAGAATACTTTGATTCCAGCATGTAATTGGTTATTGGCAATATGGAAGCTAAGCCAGAAATGGTGGCTCCCAGCTACTCATGAGGCTAAGTTAAGAGGATCACTAAGTTCAGGAGTTCAGGGCAGCCACCCAGTTAATAAAAAAGAGAGAAAAATATTGGAGTGTAGACAACTCATTGTAGCCTTTGATGATATTACTAAAAAAAGCATTGATGCCGTCCATCACTTGCAATGCAACTGTTATTCTTGTAGAGAAACCTTTGTTTTTATTGTTTGGTCTTTGGAATCATCTCATTAGAAGCCAAGGGATAAGACCAGGCCAGAGACCCACATTTGATCCATAGGACCTAGTAACATAGACAATGAGAAAACAGGCTGAGTGCCGTGGTATATTCCTGTAATTCCAGCTACTTAGGAGGTAGAGATAAGGAGGAGCTCCTGGTCAATGTAGACAAAAAGTTCACAAGACCCCCATCTCAACCAATAAAAAACAAATTTAGATGTGGTGGTACATGCCTGTCACCTCAGCTATGTGGGGAGCATAATAAATAGGAGGATCCTGGTCCAAGCCCACCTAGGGAATAAAAATAAGACCCTATCTCAAAAATAAGTAAAGCAAAAAAGGCTGGGGGTATGGCTGAGGTGATAGAGCACTGCCTAGCAAGCCTGTATTCAAACCCCAGCAAAAACAAAAATAAATAAATAATTAAATTTTTAAAATAAGAAAGAAAGAAAGTCAAAAAACAGGCTTCCTCTCTAGAGCTCCTCAGCATCCTCCTTTCCAAAACCAACAAAGTTTTACAGAGGGTGTCATCCAGACCTTATGTGCAGATGAGCCCTTCACTTCGAGGGTATTGAAGTGGCTGTCTTAGGGAAAAGGTGCCCCTGAGTCCCTGCTTTGCCATCTTTCTGCCTTAGTTTCCTACCAACTCGTCATTTAAGAGACCAAAGGAGGGCCAGGCTTTCCATCTCACCACGGGATATCCAGCATTTATGATTCTCAGCTTTTACAGTTTGGGAACCCTGTTTCCCTTCAAGAATCCACTATGATACTGCTGCCAATCGCTTAAGAACAGGGACGCCTACAACTGTGGCCTCTCAGAAGTACTGTAAGTGCTAGCTTTATCAAGTGAAGTGAGGAAAGGTTTTCTAAAGAATTAGCTAAATCATTGAGCATCACAAACTCAGGTCATCCCAGAATATAGAATGCCCCCTTCCTACTGTCACACTATCCTCTAAGTCCCTCCTCTTCAGCTACAGCCCAGGCCAACAGAAGTATACAGAATTCTTCTCCATTGTTTACAAGGCTTCTCAAGAGACCACCTGCCTAGCAAGCATAAGGCCCTGAGTTCCCAACCCCAGTACTGCAACCTAACATGTGCTTTGCCCTCTTAAACCAACTAAACTCAGATACCAAAGGAAGCTTAGCTGTTCTGTTCCTGAAGCAGACTCTCAGTTTATCTCTCTTAAAAATAAAACAGAAAGAGAAATGCACTATTCATTCAAAAGAGTATGAAATGAATACATACTGCCAAAAGATTAATACAAAATCAACATTTGCAAAAGAAAAATAAGCAGACAGATGTGTTCTGGATGTGTGCAGGATTGAGGCACTAGGAACTTGGCCATTATTGAATGGAACCAAATGACTGAACTGGATGAAGGGGCAAGCAGATCAGTGGCTGTTTGTCCCACCTGCAAGTGACACCATCCAGGTATAAGGGATGAGAGAGCCCTTGAGTTCACTACAGGTGACAATTTTGCAATATGGCCAGTGGGTAAGGTGAAGGCTGGTGCCAGAGCTGTAGTTTGATCTTAACAGTTACCCACGAGGTGCAGGGATAGTGGCAGCCCCACCAAAGCCCTCTCCAAGTCTCCATTAGCTATGCCACTGTAGACAGAAACTTCTGCTGGAGCCCACCATTTGTTTTACTCCATTCATTGTTTGTTTTGTGTTATTAACTCTCCTGATTTGAGATTGTGGTTCTATTTCGCTGTATTTTCTTATATGTTTTGGTTGATTAGTTTTTAAATTTTTTGGTTAGTTTTTGGGGATGATAATGAATGTTCTATGTGAAAACAGTTGTTTCTTTCTTTTGCCTGTGGCTGACTGCATGTTCTCTGTTGATGTCGTTCCCGTTCTTGACACTGACCATCTTGTCTGTGAAAGGAGGCGCTCCAGCGGGCTTGCTTGATCAGAAGAAGGGGAAGTTTGCTTGGTTTAGTCACTCCACAGAAAGCCATGGTAATGTCCCCTGTGCTCTGTGTGCATAAATGTGCGTTGGTCCACACTGCACTGGACGGGGGGTGTTTCTCTTGATGCTTATGGTGTGGTAGTTGTGTGTGAGCGTTCACATGCACGTATGTGTATGTGTTTGTGTGTGTGTATTTTGTGAGAGGATGGCAACCTGTCCCTCTCACAGCCTCTGGCACATCATCTCCTCCTATGTATGAAGTTGGCAGGCATGACAATCACAGCAGCTATGCCTTAACGGAGCCCTTCCTTTGGACAGTGCCAGCCAAGGATACAGTCACTGTACATGCAAAGTGACCAGGCTGGTATGGGCAGTGCCTTGATTTAGAAGATGGTGTGCTTACTCCTGAAGCCCAGGCCTGCCCTCTCCTAACTCTAATGTCTTTCTGAGCCACACTGCCACATTCTCCACTCGCACATACAGGACTCTGTAGGAGCCAATGTCACAAAGTCAGGTGGCTTTCTACACAGGGCTCAGCCCTTCCAATAATGGTGCCTGGAGAGTTAAAGGAGCCTGAGTCAAAGATGGCTGGAGGGAAATGGGTTGAAAGGTGGAAGGCTCTTCAATTTTACCATTTAGTATAGATTCAGCAAGACCCTGGAAAGCTCTGAAGATCTATCTTCTCAGGGCCTGGTGCTAAACCAACCCTAAGGACTGGTCCCCCAGCTCCCTCAAACCTGGGGCTTTAATGTGAACATAGTGCTGAAAACTCACTGCTGGGCTATTCGCCACCCTCCAGTGCTGCTCCCAGAGCCTGGTTCAGCTTCATCAACATCATCTTATCCTACATTGTAGAGAAGGAAGTTAGTCAACATTGGGGCAATTAAGATGAGCATGTTATGGGGGCATGACCCCCAAACCCCATTCCCAGTACCTCCCCAAATACACCATGTGACCTTGAGCATCACACCCCTGCTCCTGGCCTCACCTTACTCTCTTGTGAAATGAAGGGAGCATGATAGGGTTGGATAATCTCTATAAAGTCCATCCAGCTCTAAACATCCATGAGATGACATCTGGATTTCTTTTTACCCAACTTTATTGGAAAGGAATCCTGGGTTGGAGAGGTCTCTCCTACATGAGAGTGAAAGTCATGGTAAGTCACGGGATTCCTATTTGTATCTTCCATTTTCTTGAAATGAGTCTTTTCTCATTCACCTGATTTGTCTTCATCCAAAAAAGAAAAGAAACTGTGAGAAGTTCACATCCATCATCACCCATACAACCTGTAGAAGTGTTTTCCTGGGCTGTGGCAGCCCCGTGGAGACTTGTCACCCAATGCCACACCCAGGTGCTGTGGCTGCTGAGGGTTAGTGAGTTTCTCACCAGATGAGGACTTCTGTTTCAGAAGGAGAGCTTAATCACTCCACTCTAAAGAACCAATGTTGGCAAAATGAAGGAACGTGAAGGGCATGGCAGCACCTACTTGTAATTCCAGCATTTGAGAGGCTGAGTCAGGAAGATCATGAGTTTCAGTCTAGCCTGGACTATACAGCAAGACCATGTCTCAAAAAAAAAAAAAAGAAGGAACTCACATCACATTAAAAATTTGCAGAAGTTGATGAAGAATTCATTGTGCTAAACTTTCATTTCAAAGAATAAATACTAATAAAAGAAATAGCTTCTTCTAAGCCATCATGTTGGGTTCTAATCTATAAGACTCGCTATTTTTTGGAAATCCAGCCCACTTCTTCCTTGGGGAGAGGCTAGATGTTGTCTAGACATGTTGGCTCTAGTGGAATTATGGCTTACATGCCAAGTCAGCCTGTTGCGATGGGAACAACAGGACTGCTGAAAGGGGAGATGGTGTCCTAGCAGGTTGTCTTCCTGCCTTGATTTTGTGGATCTCACACTTAGGTGCCTCTGTTCCTAATGTCTGCAGTGCTAGCGTGGGGCTCAGTGGCCACTCACAGCAAGCTTGCTGTTGACCCAGCATGCACTGCAGAAGAAGGAAGTCCTCAGATCCACCTGGCAGTTCATGCAGACAGCAAAAAAGCCCTTCCTGCAAACAACCTGAACACCCTCAGAACTGGTAGGGGGTGGGGAGAAGGAAGGAAAGTGAAGTCTTGTCACAAGAACTCCTCTTTCTATGGCAAGTACTCCATGCAAATGGAAAGCTCCCATGATTTTTCTGAGGCCACAAAGGCTGAAAAAGGATTCAATGGTCAGCGTGTTCTAGGTGTGTCCTATAAGGTAAAAGATCTGATCACCAGATTCCTTCCTACCTCCCCGCTAATTTAGTGTCCTTGGCAGCAAAACTTAACCTAGTCAAGCAGCCTTGCCAGAACTGGACCTTGAGTGCCAGGCCAGCTGATGGTGCCCAATCAGCCCTGGGCCCCAAGATCATATGTTGCACACTAACACTCTTCTGTTCTCCTTTCTCTCCTCCCCCATCAACATCTTTCCTGCATTCCTTTGATGCTTGCAGTGAGCATGCCCACAAGTGAGACCGAGTCTGTCAACACTGAAAACGTGGCTGGAGGTGACATCGAGGGTGAAAACTGCGGGGCCAGGCTGGCGTGAGTAGGCACGGCGAACCCAGCACTGGGCTCTTCCTGGGGTTGAGGGATGGGAGGCTGGGTTGGCTCCTACCTGCAGGGAAAAAATTAGAGCTCACCACCAGAACCAGAAATCCTAGGTGGTAACCGGGGCACTGGTCAGGGAGAAGAGGGCCCAAGGTAGATATGGCCCCAGATGGGGTGGGGTTCTTAACATTAAAACTCATCTTCAGTTTAGCACTTCTGCAGGGGTTGACTGCAATGTTGAGCCCCTTTTCATCCCATAAGAGAAATACAGGGGCGGCAGGGGTGGGGATTCTGATGTCTGTTTCTCCCCATCTCCTTCACCCCCTTGTACAAGACACAGTAGTTCAGGGTCTCTGGTCCAGCTGGCCACCTTTTCCATAGTGATAAAGTGTGGCCTGGAAGAAAAACAGATAGGTAAGAAATGTCACTGCCAGGTGATGGGCCTATTGGCCCATTTGTGCAGCTCTGATTGTTTTAGTGAAGGACTATGGGGGCTGGAATGTCACCTGAGTAAGCACAGATTCACTCATGCTTAGCCTAGCCTGCTACAGTCACTCCTCTCTTCCCTGGGTCAAATCCCAATCCCTGGCTTCAGGATGTTGGCTTTGACCTAGCATTGGGCCAGGTGTGATGAAACCAGGGTTGGTGTCCCAGGGAACAGTTCACCTGTGGGTTATCACAGTCTTAAAAACAGAAACCAGCCACCCCTGTACAGTGTTCCTTCTCAAAAAAGTGAAGGGGGAAAATGGCTTAACTGCTAAAAATAGGCAAAATGCTGCTTCAATGTCCAGTGTCTCAGAAAGCAGAGTGTAAGGATTAAACAGGTACATGTAATCACATTGACCTTGATTATGAGCCCTCCAAGACCATTATCAGCTTTGGGAGGTGGCTGATTTCCCTGCTGCTGTGGGGTATAATGGTTATAAATTCACCCTAGTCACTGAAAGGAACTGCAAACAGCAGGCTCTGAGTGGGGTCAGTCCCAAATGTAGTATGTCTCCAACCAGCTCCATCTGGGGAATGACACCTTTCTATGACACGACTCAGTAGCCCTGCTACAAAGATGGCTGCAAGTAAATCTGAACATGGCCTCACAGCCTGGAGCACAGCCTGGGAGCCAGAGGCGGGAAGAGAAGAAGCTGAGGAGCAGGCAAGGTCCATTTCCAGGGCACACAGGGCCTCCACATCGTTCACTCTGACAGTGGCACCAGGGAGTCTGCACTGCAGATTTCTCCAAATTGTTGGGAAGCAATTATTGTCAAAATGTTGTTAAAATACGATGCTAATTACATTTTTTAGCAGCGATCCAAACCTTTTCCCTCTTCTCTTCTTTTGGAATCATACAAAACAAACACTTGAGTTTCTGGAAGGGGGCCCCAGACAGCAATGCCAGGCAAAAGTATATAGGAAGCCTTCAAGTCCATAAGTTCTAGGCCTTTCTGTGAGCTGGACACCAAGAGGGGATGGGAAAAAAGATGATCAAGGACCCAGCAAACCTAGGTTTTGGGCATGGCCCAAGTTGCATACCAGGGAACAGGGAGCTGGCATCAGAAGTCACTTGACAGTGAATCTCAGGAACACGTGAGACTCAGCTGGAAAGAGAACATGGGTAGCCCCTGTGGAGGGAGCCTGGCAATCTCTAGTCTGTCTGTCAGCTCCTTGGAGGAGGCACTCTGCAGGCTTCAAGAGCTCTATAGAAATGGTCTCTGTGATACATCTATTCTCCACATCAAAAGACGCAATTGCAGTGCCAGAATTATAATGTACATTTAATGAATCGTGGTCTTTCCCCATCTCCCTGCTCCCATCTTCTCCCAGACCAAAATGGGGTGAGACTCTGCCAGTGCTCCTTATGGGAGAAGCAGCATGTGGACAGTGAAAAGTAGAAACTGAGGAGCCAGGGAGACCCACGTTTCCAAAGTCTCAAGCTAAAAGTCTTGTAAAATAAGAGGTCAGGATGAGGACTTCCATGAGGAGAGAAGGCCTGGGTAAAGACGGCTCCGGGGGGGCAGAGGATGAAGAGAAAAGAACTGCCCCATGATGCTTTGTTGAGGAGAGAGTAATGGCAGGAGGCAATGAAGAGGAGGGATCCATCAAAGCTTGAGAAGAGTGCATGATACAGAGACTAATGTATAATTTGAAGCAGGCGCCAGCCTGAAGGATCTGTGGGTGTCATGTAGACAGCAGGACATGGAGGTTAAGGCTGAGCTTTGTGCATGTATGGAGACACACACGTGAGGTTTTCGTGTAAAACTATCAATGAGGCCATTCACAGAGGGGTGGAAAGCAGGAGACCAAAAGTTGAACCTTGGGGAAACTAGCACACAGAGGAATAAGAAATCAACAAAACAGATGGAGATGTGTAAGGAAAATACTCTGCGGTGCTGGCCTGGGCACCAGGAGAGGAAGGATGACAGGACAGAGCTCTACGTGAACCTTCAGGACTGTATGCCCGGCCTGATGTTGTCACCATAAACAAAATTCCCACCAACCTCCTCAGAGCTGGCAATCTAGCATAGAAGGAACCCTAAACAAATAAATGAACAAGTAGAAATTGGGCTGTTAAGAAGGGGAAGAAAATATAATGCAGGGCCAATAACAGAGGGACCTGGTTTGGACTGGCAGGTTAGGAAAAGCTTCTTTGAATAATTAAAAGTTAAGCTGAGAACTGAGGCAAAGCGTAATGAAACCATCCCGATCAGAGCCAGGGGGACTAGGGGGTGGGGCAGGGTCTGTGTGCAGGCAGAGAGAAGGGAGCAGCGGGGATGGGACAGGGTGGGACCTGGAAGACCCCTTCATGAGTTTGGTCTTCGTCACTGAAGGTTTTAAGAGCATAGAAGCTTAGTGGGGAGGTTGGTTTGGTTTGGTTTGATATTAGGAGCAGGGCACACAAGTCAAGTGGCTATCATAGCTACCCATGTGCAAATGACAGTGGCCCAGGCCAGAGTTGAGATGTGGGGACAGGAAGAATGGGCAGGTTGTCAGGAGTCCTGGAGCTCTACTTTGTAGGGCTTTAGGGTGTGCTAGTGGGGTGGCTGCGGGGAGGGTGAGGGGGGGTGGAGGTGTGCCAGTGGATGCATCCGCTCAAGCATCAAGGCCACAAGAGGGAGGAGGACACCAGGGAGGTGGCAAGAGGAGCAGCCATGGCAGTGAAGGACTGATTTGCATCATGGCTGGGGCCATCCTCGAGGCAGGAAGCACCCAGGGGAAAGGAAGAAGCTAAAGAAGCTGGAGAGAATATGGGTGCTTATGGAAGGACTCACCGAAGAGGGGAAGGTCGACTTCAGAGACACAAGAAGACACTGTACATGGAAGGGGGCATGCCTCTGCTGCTGAAAACCTGGTATCATGAGTCCTTGTGCCTACTCCCCATAGGCCACCAAATCTCCCTGTACCTCAGCCAAAGCACTCTGCTCTGAGGTACAGCCTCTCCCTTTGGGCACAAAGGGACTAGAGAGACTTGAGTTCCTGCTGAAGCCAGGGGGGCCAACACCATCTGCAGCGGCTGCTTCTAAAGGAGACTGTGTTCATCTTAACAAGTCAGGCTGCCCTGTGACATTGCACATCCCGCATCCTGAGGCCTCACACACCAGAGGCCCATGTGTTAGGAGGGTCCCTTCCAAAGAAACACTTTAAAGCCTATAGTTCTGTAAAGAACACAGAAGAAGAAGCCTGCTCTGTGAGGGTCAGTGATGGTAGTCATGCCAGAAGACCCCAGTCTTCTGGGGGTCTGATGGGGTCCTGAAGGACAGCAGGAATGATTCCAACCCATGAGCTGCAAGGGGTCACTAGGAGATGGGCTGCCCTGCACCACAGTGGACACTGATGCTATAATCATGGACTCAGCTTCACAGGACTATTCCATACATTTTTGGAGGTTTTGTAGACAAGGAGCACTAAAAACATGGGGTGAACCAGGCAAAGGTTCAGCCATGAAGGCCCAGCACTGCAGTGGTCCTCCTGTATCAAGAGCCACCTGGGCATAACCAGGCATCAAGCTGAGCACTGGAAGTCAAGTCTAGCATTGGCCTGGAAGTCTTGGAAGAGGCTGAGTGACTGGAAAGATCCAGTGCAGGCAAGAACTGGATTCCATGAGTGCACAGGAGGGAGCAGAATCAGGCCAAACGTGGAAGGACTAGGTTTAGCACCCAGTAGCTGAAGCAGTGCTCTGTGGTGACCGTCCAAAATGTGCCCCTTCTCCTAATAACGGCTGGGGTGGTGACAAAGCTCTGAAGTAAATGAGGCTGAGTCAGAGGGCTGTCCACACAAATGATGACTATGGTGCCACCTGACTATGGCAAAGGCAAAGTGGGGGTAATTCGGGGAGATAACTGTTTCACACAGCAGGTAGTAAACATATGGTGCTCATTACTCCAAGAAGAAGAGAGGCTGAAAATATAAATAGCTCCTGAGAAGTTCAAATATTTGTCAAATAATGACAAATGCAAATTGAGTGACTAAACAAAAAAAAAAAAAAGAAAACGTAGGGGTTGGTCTCTAATTTCAAACCTCAAAATCAGGGAAGAAAACCATGGTCTTCCAGAAGGTTGATCCTAGAGGCCTGGGCATAAATGTGTCTGGGGCTGAATGGACTTCAGTTCCGACACAGTGGAGCTATTCTGGTGGACTCTTGTATTGGTCACTAGCCTTCTCTACCTCCTGTCTTTTCACAAGTCCACTTAAAGCACAGGAAGAAATTGGGCCTCACTGGAATATGAACCATGAAGAAGCCAAGAAGTCTGCAAGCTGCACATGCCCACTGGTGCTTGGAGATGCCAGAGGCTCTTTGGAGTCTACAGAGATTTCAAAAATCAGTAGGAGGTGTCATTTGCCACAGGCTAACCAGCCCGGCTGTGGTGTGGTGGCACAGCCCCAAGGTGCCCAAGGGCTCTCTGCCTTGTTTACTAACAGTAAGAGGGGCATCTATCCAAACACTGACTCCATGGCCCCCACCCAGGAGCAGAAGGCTGCTGAGCAGCAGTGCACCTCTGTTTTCATGAAGTAGGTCCTACAGCGAATGCCCCTGCCCACAAGAAGTATGGAAGGATCAAGGCCTAAAGCTGACAGAGTTCTAAGAAGCCTAGCTTTCCTAGGGCCTGGAGTTTTCCTTCATCTCCCCAGACAAATGCCACCTGAGCAGCACCCTCCCCTTCTTAAATACCATAAGTGATATGGTACTTAGCATTGCTCCTCGTGGTCTATAAATGTGCCAGTCTTAAAAAAGGATGAATGTTTCAGTCCCAAAGAACCTAAACCATGCTCACAATTCCCTGCAAACAACAAAAAACGTTGGTCTTCCAAGTATGGTACCCAGACTTGTACATCAGGACATGAGACAGGGTAGATAAGAAAATCTTGCTCCATTTCCCCCAACTCAGAGCATATCAGGACACCAAGGAGTGATCCACAGTCAATGACCATGCAGAAATGAGGACCTCATCACAGACAGCCACTCCTAGCCCCAATCCTCCTACACTCCATGTCTCCGAGTCATTTAATTGGGAGATACGAACACTCAGATGTGGATTCCCCCATGAGAGAGTTTCTAAGAACCTAGTTTTGTTTGTGACTCCATTCGATTGAGAGCAAGAGGGAGTCTTAGAGGAGCCTAATGGTCTGCGATGAAGCACATACCACAGAGACCCTTCTGCAAGAAGGCCTGGGGCCAGGCCAGGCTCGGAGACAGTCTTACGGCTGATGACTGTGACCATCCACTTTCATGTGTATTTAACAGCCAGGTGAGGGGGCTGGGGAAGATGCTGAAGGTCCCTTGCTCAGCATGGCCCTGCTGGAGAAAGAGAGAGTACCCTGCCTTCCCCATCACCCAATTAGCAGCTGGAAAACATTTGTTTCCCCCATTAAATTGCAGCTCTAAATAAAAATGCTGCCCTTGGCTCCTGGTCCCCCTCCCACACGCTTTGTTAACATGTGATTAAACCCTCCAGCCCTAGCAGCCAGTCTTTGGGGGTGGGAAAAGGTTATTAGCTAACAGTTCAGAGCAGTAAAGGCACTTGGCTCTGATTCTCAGTGCCCCAGAGATATAATTATCTCATGCACGATGGCTTTGCCACCTGTCACATCTTCTGGTTTAATTTTTTTTAATAAAAAATAACGAGAGGGGTTGGTGTTTTCTTGCTATGTGATACAACTCGCCTTGTGCCAGGCTGGTACAACTCAGGCTTGCAGCACTTGCCTCCCAAACGCCCCTCCTGTTTTCTCCCCGCAGCTCTCCTGGTCTCTTAGCACATCCCCATTTCTCCATCCTCTCACCTGCATTGTCCTTCTGCTTGTCCATCTGAGCACTGTCACCCCACCTGCAGTCTTGTCTGTATTCACTCCCTCTCAGCACCAATGCTAAGCTGACATGTGCCTTCAAATTTTTGGCCTCAAATGTTTACATTTTCCTTCCTTCTCTCCCTCCTTCCCCTCTCCCACACTTCTTACTTACAATCCCTCTCTCTTGCCCTCTGCTCCCCACCTCCTGTCTCCTCCAGCCTCCCTGGACTCTTTCCTATACGACCAAGGAAGGTTCTTCAAGGAACCTTCCCATACAATGACCTTTCCAGGCAACTGTCACCAGCACCCTGTCCCAAGTTTCTGTCCCCAGGTCTTCAGGGCTACACTGGACTAGCCTGAGGTTTCTTCTCAGACCCAAGGCCATTTCTTTACACCCACTGTGTAGCTCTCAGGTGGGGACATGGTGGCCTTTGCATTTCCAGCCAGTTCTTTGGCTTGTCTTCATTTCATAACCCAGCTTTGGCAGAGCTCCTGGCAGACAGCCTGTGTGATGTGTTCTGCCTGTGAGTTTTCTGCTGGTGGGGTCCTCCCATCTTCAGGAGAGGCCTTCCCATCCTCCATGGTTTTTCTCAAGATGGAGCTCTTCCTAACCCTTCCTCATGGAGCTTGCTGGGCAGACCCATCCTCTGAGGACACAGTGCTTTCTCTCTCCAGTGAAGATACTGGATTTGTAGATGGCAGCTGGGCCAAGCCTCCATCTCCACATTCAAATACAGTTTTCTTTCTTTCCAACATTGAAATTCATACTGCACATCTTTCCAATGCCCACATATACCTGGGAGACATCAAAGTCCTCTGGGATTGTTGAACATTCTTCAAGTAGAAGAAAGTGAATGTATGTCCTGTGGTAATGTTTCCTTTTTCTCTTTCAGCCACCGGATCTCCAAGTCAAAGTTCAGGTGAGTGAGATACACATCATTTTTTTTTTCTTCTGCCCACCAGCTCCATCCTCAGTACCATTTTGGATGACCCAAGGTAATCCCTGACAGTTGTGGGGAGGAGTAAGGGGTGTTCTTCGAAGGGGATACCTGCTTCCTGCTTGTATTGGCTGTCAAGAAGAGGCTCATGCATCAGATCAGGGAAGTAATTCAGGGGCTGAGGCCTGTTGAATTCTCTTGGACTGTTAGTCTTTGGGCACCGCTTTTCCTGGAAGGTCAAGATCAATTGAGTCTCCCTCCCCTGCACAGTGAAGTCCAGTTAAAATAAACATGTGAACACTTGCTACTATCTTGACCTCCTTCACGTTTATGGAACACGATGAGGATTACAAAAAGCACAGAGACTCCCCTCTGAGTCACTACTCTGAGACAATGTCAGAACCTTCTAGAGTATTCATGGTCCTCAATCCACAATCTGCCTTTTGGCTTTCCCTTCTGTGCTCCCCTGAAAACACCTTTGTTCCTTCTACATGCAGCTGCTTGCAGTTACCCAAAGGTTCCCTGTCCTCTTACATTTTAAGTTCTTTTCATGGAGCTCCACCGACATCACTACCCATGTCTTTGTCTGGAGAGCTCAGACTTTTGTAAATCACCAACTGCACATACCCCCATTCCCACAATGCTTTGCCCCTCACTCACCCTATTTCATGCCAGAGGCCTGATGCCTCCACTGAGCTCTGTCTGCATGCTTGAGTCCAGGTCAGTGCCTGTCCAACAGGCTGTCTGTCCTCATGTGTGTTGAATGTATGGATAATATGAAGGGAGAATAAGAATTAACTCACAAACTTATATTGCTAGTGAATATTATTCATTTATTCTTCATAACCCAACCTTGCCTCCCTAGCTCTCTGACAGGTTAGTGGGAGTATTAGAAATAGTAAGCTAGTCCAGCTGAATAAGTATAGCCTGATGGCACATTGCAAGGAGTCCCTGGAGCGCACATGTGTAGTCACTCAGACTTCCTTTGCCCCAGCTCCTCTCTAGGATTCATCTGGATGCATGGGTTAGGGGAGTTCAAGATCCCAGAAGCAGGGTTTGATAAGGCTGGTCCTGGAACATTCAAGAGTCCTTGACTTTTACTTGCTCTGTGGCTTAGGCAAATCTGGGCTGCTCTGCTACCTGCTGAGGTACAGAAGGTCCATCTGGTTTGGGCATCCACCAGTGGAGGCCATGTCCCCTGCCCCATTTGCCTCTAATCTTGAAATCTCCACTTCTGTTCTGACCTCCAAGCTCCGTTGGTCCACTGATGTTAGGTACCTCCTTACCGCATGGATAATTCCAGGTCCTTCACATTCATAAATGAGCTAGGGGAACCAGGAGCAAAAGCAGTGTTCTATCCACCTGTGTCCCAGCACTCTCTCTGCTCCACCTAGAAAGAACTCTAAGCCAAAGGCTTCTGGGGTCCTGCAGAGCCTGCTCACTAGCCCCAGTGTCCCCTTGCAAGTCCCTCTAACCTCCTGGGGCTAAGTGACCAAGGGCTAAGATTAAATGAGGACTCTGGTGTCTGAACCTGCTCCACTTTTGTCTCCTTTCTCCCACTGGGACTGGAAATTGCAGGCTTTCCTCCCCTTCCTCTTTCTCTCAAAGTGAGACCTCCTTTATATAAAAATCTAGGGCCAGATCTACATGAAAGAAAGCTATAGAAACAGGAAAAAAAAAAAAAAAAACCTCTCTCACAATAATGGGTGGATTCTCCTGCTTTATCTCCAGCATGTGGAGAAGTGGCTGGTATATAGCAGGACTTAATAAGTATTTGGTGGGTGAATGAACAAATGAATGAATGGCCTTTCCTGTGTAAGACAATAGACTTGAGGCACACTCACACAAAATGTAAATTTTGACAGGCAAATCTGAGAAAGCGTACTACGGTCTTAACAGTTACAAAGTCCCCACACAATAAGAGGATATAAAATATTTCCACAATTCCATTCTCAGTACATGCAAGTGAGAGGATCGTGGATGCATAAATAGGATTTGGAGGGTAGAGGAGAAGGTTGCATACTTGGGCAGGCTCTCTCAAGTTAGAGATTTTTCAGAACACTCTATAAATTTTTTTAAGTCCAATGATATATGGTATAGCCTGAGCTTTAAAAAATGAGGGAATCTCTACTCAGCCTTGAGACCTTGTTCAGTCTAACAGCCCCTGGCGCTGATCATTTACCTCTGGAAGGGTTTCTCCCTCTGCAGTTACTGTTCACTATACCAGAGAAATGTAGAGAGCAGACCTTGTATTCCTGAATGCCTTATTACTTGTGGGTTAGTACGGTCATTAACCCATCTTCAGATGAGAACCTCAAGGCTTAGAAAGGACTCCAGGGTCACATGGCTCACCAATGGCCTGCTGATAACCCCATACCATCCCACTGGCCAACACTGCTCCAACACCACCACTCAAGTAGTGAGCACAGAGGCGACTACATAAGAGAAGCATGTAGAGTTAGGCAAACCACATGGGTACTTCCAAAATCCTTCTAGTAGCCATGTTTTAAAAGTACAAATAAACAGGAGGAATTCATCTGAACACCTTTTTTAAAAACCAGTATAGCTAGAACACTGACTTTTAAACATGTAATTAACATAACACATTTGTAATGAGATTGTTTACATTCTTTTTTTGTACCGAGTCTGTGAAATCCAGTGTGCATGTTTCACTTACCGCTCATCTCAGTTTGGACTGACCACATTTCAAGTACACAAGCATCACATGTTGTGAGTGGCGGCTACCCCAGACATGACCCCAGAAGCTCTGAGCAGTATCACATAGCAAGCAGCCCCATCTGTACCCGATGCTCACCGGTGGCGTCTGGTTAGGAAATATCTAAGATTTGGTAATAGGTTGAAAACACTTCCAGAATTATGGAAGTGATTCAAATAATTTTCTCAGTTAGGCAAAACCGTTTAACAATGGCAAATAGTAGAATTTGAGCTTCAAGCTGGCCTGTTGCATGTGCAAGTCTGAATAATACAAAGTCACGGTTTATTTAAAAGAATCATTAGAATGGAGATTTTGGGGAAATATTGGCAAATTGAGTTACAATATTAGGGCAAATTCTAGGGGGTTCTTGTGGCAATCCAGGTTTCCGTGTAAAGGAATTAGGTGAAATAAGGGATTTCCATCATTTGGGACTCACTGTTCAGAACAGGATACAGACAGATTTGGAACAAATGATTCAGAGGGTCTTTTATAACCTGAGAGATTGATCAGATGGCCTGTTGCAGTTTCTGGATCATAACCAAGTGGAGTTCTGAAGTGAGCCCCAGGGGGGTTATAAAATGAGAGGACCATCTCATCCAGTCTTCAACATTCCCTGCACTTCTGCCATGCCACAAGCAGCAGTGCTCAAACCCAAGTTTGCCCCAATTGCTCATAGTCCATTTTTAGAAACTTATCCACAAAATTAAAAGCGAATAGTTTTTCCTGCTGTTTTTCTCAGTGCTGTTAAAGAAAAGATGGAAACTTACTCCAGCCAATAGAGAGAGCCTGGCACGTCCTTTATCTTTATATCCTCTTCTATTCTAAGTGCCTGTCAGCAGTTCCATGTCAAGCAAGCCACTTTAGGAGCACGGTCCACTCCTCACCCTTTGTCCCCCTAGATGACAGGTGCCCTGGGGATCTTAAGCCTTGTCTTCCACGGGAAGTTAGTAGACCTGTGTGGTATGTTTCTGTAGCTCACATGACCTGTCACCAGTGTCCTGCTCTGGAGGTGGACCAAAGGTCTGTAGCCAAGTGGCAGACATAGTCCCTTCCCGTCGTGGATCTTCTGATCTTGCTGGAGAGGCAAGAACCATAAAAATAAGTGCTAACTGGCCATACGAGGAAATAGCAAGTCATTTCCCCTAGGAATCCTCTGCCAGCTCCTCCAGGGCTAGCTAAGATGTGCTCTGCAACAGCACATTTGCAGAGTCCCCAAGCACATATTGTACTCTATTGTGACTCTTCACTGGCTGCTCTGAGCCTTGTTTGGGTTTCATGCAGACAAAGACTGTGTATATTGTGCTAACTGTTGAAAATCTAGTACATAGTCCATGTTCAATTAGCATTTCTTGACTGCATATCAAAAGTAATGCAAACAAGTCCTACAGAGGTGCCAAGGCTGGGCTGACTAGGAATGTTTATCATGTTGAGCCTTGAAGAATGGGCAGGACCTGGAAGACCGAGACAGGAGGTGGAGGTCCTGTGTCGAGGTGGGAGGGCCTTGAGTATAGCTTGCAAGACAAGGGCATGGCCCAGTGTTGGGAGAATGTAAGGTGAGCTAGGGGAGGGAGCAGAGCATGAGGCTACAAACAGTGAGAGGAGTACAGTAGACACATTCACATCCATCCTTCTCTCCCCTGTCTACATACAGAAGGTTCTATTTCTACAGTAAATGACCTCTAGTTAATGCAAAGGAAATGTGAATAGCAGGCAAATTTCTCCTCCCTATTTTATCATTTAATTTCTATATCCTCCATGCATATGTAAACACACAAATAAATTTACACATTCTAATAAATCATTACATTTATTATACAGTAGGAAGTGTTGCCAGGAAACCAGTTGTCAAGCAAAGCTATATTTTGAAGAGTGGGAGGTGTGTAATTATCTTTAAATACTTTCTCTGGATAGTAATTACCCCACCCCAGCTCAAATCCACGTGACTCTCCAGAATGGCTCTGCGCAGAAGCAGGCTAGTTTAAAAGGGCTGGAGCAGAGCCGTTCCAGACCCACTGACAGGCCTGACTCATAGCACCCCACATCTGCTACCCCAGAACTTGGGGAGGGAGGGGCCTGATCAAGTTCTCAGTATTAAACAGACTCCAAGTCACTTTGTACATACTGTAAAATAAAGCAACCTTGATTGCTTTGTGTTCTTCGTAACGATTAGCAGTGATTTCTAGAATGTGAGATTGTAGCTATTTAAACATATTCTTTGCAACTATACTGCAGGCTATTTAAAATCAATTATGAGTGTGTCCTGAGAATTCATTTTTCAGGAAAAAAGTCACCTTACCAAATTTCTATACTATATTAATAATGACAACCATAGGAATAAGTAGTCATGCCTGACAAAGTAAGACTGCTTAGTATCATGATTCAGCAAACTCCAGAGGTCACCCCTCAGTGAGACTGCCTGGGTCTCACTATCCCATTCCTTTGTCCCATCTACCTCTCCTGTCCTCATGGTATCCAGGGGAAGCTTGCAAGCATTCCACAGTGCATTTGGAGACTGATCATTACTTGCATACTCTTTCTTCTCTATGTGCTGAATATCCCTGAAGCAGCAGCAAAAAGTCCAAGGGTCCCTTGCAGAGAACAGTGCTTGCTGGAGATGGTATTGCAGCATCCGTTGATGGGCAGGTCAGATCAGAACACCACCCAAATTAAGCTTGCCTTCCTTCCCAACTCTGCAGCCCAAAACTAAGTCCTCCTGTAGTTCTGAGGAAAGGACACCTTTCCTAGGTCACTCCTTGCTCCTTAGTTTCATCACAAGTTTCAGCAAAGCCTTGCTAATAGGATTTCTTGCAGATGCTAGCTAGAAAATGACAAGCGTGAAAAACATAGATGAAGTCAAGCTATCCAAAAGGCAATGTGGGGTATGAATAGAGGGGTCCATTAGAGCAGAGGTCTCCATCCCTAGGCCTTCAGAGTATGAGCTGTCCCTGGCATCCTGTAGAAAGTGGCTAGGAAGGGGACAGAGTACGTAACACCTGGCCCTGTGTTGCTGGTAGTGCTGCACAACCCAGAGAGCGCTAATGGAGATGTCATTCTGGCACTCCACCAGAATAACACCATGGAGGAAGTGACTGACAGTCTTTATGATCATCTCTGGCCAGATAAATGGCAATCTGGATTCATGATGTGAGCTGATTTAGAAGCTAAGACCTTGGTTCCATTTTGTTGCCCTGAAGTGGAAGACCATTTTTCACGTCCTGACCTGGCACATGCACACATGTGTGCACACTCACGCACACATGAAGGATTTATTTAGTTTTGTAATTTCCTTGCAATACGATATACACTGTGATGTTTTTCATTCTATTCCTTTTTCAGTGCCCTCATGACCTACTAGATAGCTGCAGTATGAACTTTGAAAATCTATCTTCCAAGGCAGCTCCTGCCTGGATGTCTGCCTGGACTAGGGCAAGTGAAAAATAGAGGCCATTTTAAGGAAACAAAATCAGATATTCTTGGACTATGCTTGAAGATTCTGCCTTGTGTCTCCTGCTTTCTTTACTACCCAGGCAGGGGCATCATCTTTACCTGCAGGGTGGCTCTGTCTACAGCAATCACCCCAAGCCCATGTCCTGAGCTGAGCATCCACCCCACCCCTCACCCTGGCTAATTTCCCTACCCAGAGCACCTATCTCTGACCCTCTGTTGGTTAAGGGTGCACTCTTCCAGATCATTCCAACTATAAATCTTGGCAGTCCCCTCCATACCTTTCTCCCTCACCTTACTCTCCTGTCACCTCAAAATCCTATTAAATCTGTCTCCAAAACTCCTGTCATCTCAGTGTCTTCTTTTCCATCAATGAAGTCCAGACACCTGGAAGAGTCTTCCTCATTCTGTCCCTGATCTAGAAGTTGACAGCGTGGTTGTATCTATTGGATGTTCATTTTCTTAAATCCAATCTGATTGTGTCATTCCCCCAAAGTCTTCAGCATGGCTCTGCAGTCTCCCTTCCAACACCTCTCCAAGCATCCCTTTCCTTCTCTCTTTCATGGTGCAGGCAGTTATTAAACATACGGTTTATTGAGTTGCCAACTTAGCTGCATGTTGTCTCTGAGTGAAGTGGATGAAGTTAGGGACAAGTTGTGAGTCCCTCTAACATAGAATCGTAAAATGTGAATGTTGGGTTCATCCAAATTAATAGTTCTCAGCCATAGTTACACATTAGATCTAGCTGAGGAACTCTAAAAAATACCAATGGTATTTTGGGGTGATATGAGAGAAAACCTGGCCTGCCTATGCCACTCTGTGATGCTGGGCAAGTGGCCCTTAGTTTTCTCTTTCATAAATTTAGGTTAACTGCTTTGCAGAGTTGTTTAAAAAACTATGGAGAGGTCATGAGAAGTTCCTAAGATGGTAGCAGACACATCAGAGGTTTCATTCATCTGACCTTTCTAGTCTTTTCACTACCACCACCACTGTCACTAGCTACCCTGGATATTTGCAATATGATTTCTAACAATGTCATTATTAGAGAGAGACATATTGAGCACCTTCAACTGCATGCCAGATGCATTATATGGCATTTTATCAATGCCACAACTCTTGAAGTTGACCCTGTTTTGGTTTCACAGCTGAAAGACTCAGAGTTTAGAGAAGTCTGGGGGCGCACCCAAGGTCGCACAACTAAGTAAGCAGTAGAGCCTGGTTAAATCACTGGAAATCTTGTCTCCTCACCACCAGGTTGCACTGCTCTAGTAAGGCTAATTACAGGTGAAAAGAAGTCACCCTGGTGTGTTTCACATTATAAGAAATCCACATTTCACAGCCAACCCCATTTTCTCCTTGCCCCATTTCCAGCCGCTACTGGCGCAGGTGGAATCGGTTTTGCAGAAGAAAGTGCCGAGCCGCAGTCAAGTCCAACGTCTTCTACTGGCTTGTGATTTTCTGGTATTCCTCAACACGCTCACCATTGCCTCGGAGCACTACAACCAGCCCCACTGGCTCACAGAAGTGCAAGGTGAGCACCCCTGGCTCCCTCCCCCATCTACTCTTGCTAACTCAGCCCCAGGTCCTAGAGAGGGAATGACACAGGCAGAAGGCTGATGGGAAGGCAGCCAGTGGCCATGGCACTTGGCAGAACCTGGCAGCTTTCGAGCCCCACAATAAAATGCACGGTCTTGTTATAAACAGACAGGGCTCACCTGACACGGCCCTCACCATCTGCCTGCCCCCACAGTCACTGTTGAATCTGTGACAAGGACACAAGCTGCAGCTTGTTTGGCTATCTCAGACCCTTGGCTGCCAGCTTCCCAGAATGGATTTTCAATTCCTCAGGCCTTACTGCCACTCCAGGTGGCGTTATCCAGACCACGTGAGGACATGAAGAGCAAAGGCAGGCAAGAGGCACAGTGTCTAAACAGAGCACACAGAGATGTCCCCAAAGGCTGGCTGGGATTCAGTGCCCAGCCTGCACCTACTAGAAGGGCATCCACTGCCCATGCCTCAGCATCTCTGCTGGGGAGTTAAGCAGACAAGGGCTTGGGGCTGCATTCCAGGTCCCTGGGGAGAGTTAGTCTAGTAGTAAAAAGATCAGAGGCAAATAGCCTGGCTTCAGCTTTTGGCCATGGCCTTGGGCAGACCACTGACCTCTGAACCTCCTTTCTCATCTTTGAAAAGTGGGCTTGACCACAGCAGTTCCAAACCTCACAGAGCCACTGTGAAGAGAAGAGAGGATAACACACAAAGCTTGGGACATGGAGGATGCTCAACACACATAAATGACGATTGTAGTCAGACATCCCTTTCCTCTTGGTTTGGCCCTGATTGTTCATTCTGGCAGAAGTGAATGGAAGAGGTGTCATGGGAGGAAGAAGGAACTGAGTATTTTTCTTTTCTGAAGATGGATAGTTACCATTTTCTTTCTCCCTCTCTGCTCCCCTCTCCACCCCTGCTTGCACCCCCACCCCTCTCCTACACCTGCCAGACACAGCCAATAAGGCCCTCCTGGCCCTGTTCACTGCGGAGATGCTTCTGAAGATGTACAGCCTTGGCCTGCAGGCCTATTTTGTGTCCCTCTTCAACCGCTTTGACTGCTTCATTGTGTGTGGAGGCATCCTGGAGACCATCCTGGTGGAGACCAAGATCATGTCTCCCTTGGGCATCTCCGTGCTCAGATGCGTCCGGCTACTGAGGATCTTTAAAATCACAAGGTATGTGACTCCTTGCGTCTCTTTAGAGAAGTTCTTCTGGAAGGCAAGAAGGTAAATGGATGGGTTTGGTTGGGAGAGTAGCTATTGCCTCTGGAAGGGTCTAGCCTTGGCTCATATGCAACAGGGAGGAGCTTTGGTTTATTTAGGGGACCTGTCCTTTGGCAGCTAACCCCAGAGATTCAACCCAGTGGCTTAAGCAAATCAGAAACTTAGTCATATAAAAGAAGTCCAGAGGTGCCAGCCAAGGTAACTTCAGGGACTTGTCTCTTCCTGTCCTTTGCTTCACTGGCCTTGGTGATGATTCCACCTCAAGGTCACAGATGGCTTCTGGAGGTGGAGTGATCATGTACAAACCCAGGGCAGGAAGAAGAAAAGGGAGCACCCAACCACTTGTCAGTCTCTTTGCTCCCAGAAATCTCAGACACACTCTTTAATATGGATACTCTGTTTTTTAAAAGAATGGAGGGATGGCTCAAGCTGTAGAGTGCCTGTTTTGCAAGGGCTTGCTTTGCACCTATGAATCCCTGAGTTCAAACTCCAGTCCACCAAAACAAAAACAAACCAAAAAACCAAGTGTTGGTAAATATGTAGAGAAATCAGACCCTTGTGCACTGTTGGTAGGAATGGGAAATGGTGCAGCCACTGTGGAAAACAATTAGCACTCCCTCAAATAAGTAAAAATGTATGATACAGTGACTCCATTTTGGGGTACATACCCCAGAGCATTGAAGAGATATTTGTGCCCCCACATAAAAGAGGATTATTCACGATAGCCAGAAGGCACCCCGCGTGCCTATGACAGGTGAATGAACAAACTAAAAGTAATATATTGTGTGCATGTGTGTGTATGCATGTGAGGTGTATGTGTGTGTGTGATGGAATATTACTCTGCCCTAAAAAGGAAGGAACTTTGGGACCCATGCTGCCACAAGGATGAACTTTGAGGCCATTATATTGAGTGAAAATAAGCCAATCACAAAACAAATACTGTCTGATTCCACTTATTGGAGGTACTTAGTCAAAATCATAGAGGCAGAGAGTGGAATAGTGGGTGCAGGAGTTGGGAGGGGATTCATATTTAATGGGTACAGAGTTATGGAGATAGATGGTGGTGGTGGTGGTAGTTGCACAACATTCAGAATATATTTAATGTCTCTGAACTGTACACTTAAAAATAGTTAAGATGGTAATTTTTATGTTATTTGTGTTTTAACACAATTTAAAAAAATTGGAAAAATATGTCTCCCAGAAATGTCACCAAGGGCCTCTGTTCCTTTTTGCCATCTTAGCAGTTAGGAAGGCTGAGAAATGGAGTCTCTTAGCCAGGCAAGATTCACTAGCTATATATAGGGCAAGATGGTGGGCGGTGTGCCACAGGCAGCTTTCATCCTTCCTTCTTCTGCACACACCCCTCCAGCTGCCTGCCCACCTGCCCGCCCAGAGACTGCCGTCTCCACCCTCTGCAGGATGAGCAGTGATTCTCACCCAGGCGGTGCAGGGAGTGGGTAGCCTGCACCAGGACAGTTTGCAACTGTGTCATGACTCATCTAGACTGGTGAAATCAACTTATTTGATTACAACCGTCATCTTTAAGCAGCTTAATGAGACCTAACTCATGTACCATACATTCACCTGTTTGAAGTACCTCATCCAGTGGTTTTGGCTTTGTTTTGTTTCTTACAGAGTCACAGAGTTTTGGCATCCAGCATCACATTGTGGTTTTAGCCCATTTTTATCACCCCAAAAAGAGACTCCCTACCCAGTCCCCATTTTCCCACCTTCCCTCCCAGCCCTGGGCAACCGCTCAGCTTATGTCTCCATAGGTTTGTCTACTCTGACACTTTGTATAAGTGGAACCATACAAAATGTGGTGTTTTGTGACTGACTTCTTCCACTTAGCATAATGTTTTCGAGTTGTAGCCTGCTTCAGACTTTATACTTTTGACTGAGGAACACTGCTCCATTGTGTGGATGAATCACATTTTGGTTACTCGTTCATCAGTGATAGGCATTTGGCTTGTTACCACCTTTTGGCTGCTATGGGTAATTCTGCTATAACGGACGTATGTTTTCATTTCTCTTGGACATATACCTAGGACTGGAATTTCTAGGTCATTTTGTAACTCTACATAAGATTTTGAGGAACTGTCAAACTTTTTCAAAGAGACTGGACTATTTTACATTCTCACCACCGACATACAGTATAAGAGTTCAGATTTCACCACATTCTCACAGTCACAATTTTTATTTATTCTTTTGATGTGTTAGTTTTTTATATCTTTTCTTTTCAGTTGACATAGAGTAATTATACATATTCATGGGGTATGGTGAGACATTTCAGTGCATACATACAGCATGTACTGGTCAGATTGGGGAAACTGGCGTATCCGTCACCTCAGATCCATCTCTGCTTTGTGGAGGAAACACTCATTATCCTCTCTGCTAGCTATTATGATTAATTATTGTCAACCATAGTTTACCCTACTGTGCTGTGAAACATCAGAAGTTTTCCTCCTGCTCAACCGCACCCTGCACCTGTTAGCATTGTCTCTCCATCTGCCCTTCCCGTGCCCCTCCTAGGCTCAGATCACTTCTGTTCTATTCCCCACTCCCCTGAGATCAGTTTTACATTTCCGCATGTAAGTGTCACATGCCGTGCTTGTCTTCCTGTGCCTGACTTATTTCACTTGGCCTAATGTCCTCTAGTTCCATCCATGTTGCTGCAAATGACAGAAATCCTTCTCCCTTGTCACAACCATCATTTTTAATGAAATAGGATGGGAAAACATCAGCGCACCTCTCGATAACCTGAGCACTGTTTCATAAGAATCTTTGAGACTCAGAGCCAACTGACAGTGTAATATACATTTCTTTAAAAGGACATTCCAGAATCAGCTGGCAGGAGCTTTAAACTCCCTGACCCGAGGTACACGCCCCTCTCCTCAGCATCTTTGCTCTGCAGAATCTTTGGCATAGGAGGACTAACACCCACAGTTGATTGGGTTTAGGACAGGGATGGAGGTTGGTAGCTCTGGTTCAAGAATGGAGCTTATCACAGCTCCCCCAGGGTGTTCCTCTGAACTTGACTTAGTGAGTTACCCCTTGTGAAGCACTTGAGACTGTGACTGCTGTCACCACAGTTCTCTCAGCAGCCATTCAACATGCATAAGTTCCTATATTATCAAGACCCCAGTGAGACCAGGCATTAAATTGTTCAATTCAGTTCCAGGCAAAGGAAGCATTCAATAACCGGGAGCTTTTGTTATTAGTTCAATTAATATTGTTGCTATTATTAGGAGAAGGAAGATGGAGAAAAGGGCTAAATGTCATCTACACATACACTCCTATTTATATTTCCACTGCATATACAGCATGCATCACTTAGTGACAAGGTACCTCCTGAGAACTTCATCACTACAAAGTTTCACTGTTGTGTAACCATCATAGAGAATCCACACCCAAACTAGGAGATATAGTCTTATGGAATCACTGTCCCATGTATAGTCTGATGGCTGAATGTGGCTGTGTGGCTCATGACTGCACTATGTGTTGAACTCTGAGAGATGGAGAGGGGGAGGATTATGGTGTGAACAGACCCCAGGAGAAAGGTACAGACTGGCTAAGGAGGTAGAGATTGTGCACAGGAAAAGATTACAGGAGAAAGTAAGACAGACTATAATGAGCTGACAAAGTAACAGTGGGGAAAATTGCTGCTGGGGGAACTTGGGAAGAGGACAGATTCCTTGGGGACTCCAAGGACAAGCAGAATTTAAATCCACACATTGAACATTTCTGTGCAGCAACCTCCTCCCCTCACTCCCCCAAATAGAGCTCTTCCTGAACCATCCTGAATATGTTGGCATTACCGAAAGTCCTTGGTTTATGAAAGCAGTAGAAATAGTATTAATAATAATTAATAGCATGCATCAGGGCTCCCTGTGTGCCAGAGAGGGTGAACTGATTGCTAATACCTATTAGCTGATTAATGCTCACAATTACCTATAAGAGAATGAAGATAGGCTACTACTATTGTTACCTCCATTTTGCACATGAGAAAACTGAGGCTTAGAGAGGTAAATCACTTTCCCAAGTTTACACAAACTGCCTAGGGGTGACAGTGGCAGTAAAAGGCAGGTCTGTCTCTGAGACTATCTGTGCTCTTGACCACTATGATCTGCAGAGCTGATGGACTAAACCGTCTTCTTGTGAGGGACCTGAGACAGGGCCTAAAGAATTCTTGCATACTGGTTCTTGTTGTTAGGTAATTGCTGATTCTACTTGCTCCTCTTAGGGTCTGCTAAAAGCTGTTTGTAACTTGGATTTTTCAATGCCTCTTAAATACTTCTCAAAAGTGCACGTTTTGGTAGTTCATTTTTTAGATTCCTGAAGAGAAGAAATCTCACTGCTAGACATTGCTATAGCATCTTGAAGAGACTGAACCTTCATTGTCTTTCTAATCACTAAATTGTCTATTCTCAATTTGAAAATATTGTCAAGAAACCACTTTTCAAAATCTGTCTTAATCAGGGAGCTTCCCCTAGCCCCTGCGCAAGGATGAGTAGTATTTTCAGAACTCAAGGAAGTCTATAAACAGAATAACTTCACTGGCTAACTGTGAGCTATTTGGGCAAAGGCCATCACCTTTCTCTTTTCAAGTTTCCAAGCCTAGGAAATGTATACATTTGCAAAGTGGTGATGTAAATGCCAAACACACTTTTCCTTAGTGTGCTAAGGCCCCAGGAAGCCCATGATTCCTTGGAAACTCATCTCTGACCTCAGGCTGGTAAGCACAGAACACTACAGGGACCAAGCAAATATTCCAAATAAGGGCTAGGTGTGACTTTGTGATCCCTTAGACTAGGTCTCTGTATGTCCTTGTCCTCTGTCTCTCCTTGTCTTAAAATATGTCCCTCCATATACAATCAAAAAACTCAGTTCTTACCTGTTCACAGTCCTCTCTATACTGTAGTCCTTAACCTCAAGATTATGTAACCAACTGC